ACAAACTTCAGGCAATGTCGAAATCAGGAACAATCTTTTTGGGGGAGATTGTTGAAGGAATCGGTGTAGGGTTCGCGATTTCAGAAATTGGTGAAATGGGCAGGTTGATTCAGAGGCTTGTTCACCAGGTGCGGAGGAAATGGGTAGGTCGATTTGTCAGGAGAGGTCGACGGAAGTGGCTTCTTCTTCGAATTGGGGAGAAATGTGTTGGTGTTAGGGATTTCAACTGTATACAATGTCTATTGTCGTGTTTTTTGGGGGGAAAACGCGTCCAACATGGTAGATCTTGACGCCGTCGACGGCCACGTCAGCTGCCGTTAAGCCACATCAGACCGTTTCAAACGGCTGAATGAAGTTGAGTGATGGTGGAGAAGCTAAATGAAGTTCAGTGACTAATCAAACTTTTTACTCATCTCAATTATGGATGAGTTACGTTTATGATATTTGAGTGAGTATTGAGTTACATTTTAAAGTTCGGTTAGTAAGTAGTTACACAAACTAAAGTTTAGTGACCAATCATTTATTTTACCCGTTGAAAAATTGGAGAGTTAACTGTTTCAATAATAAAATTATTGTACTTTGGATTGACGGTAGTATGACTGAACTTCAAAAGCTTCTCATCATCACTCAACTTACAAAAATTGCTCTCCATCTACTACACACTTACAATTCTGTTCGTTGCATTTGACGGAACTGTTTATGTGGCTAACAAATTTGGAACATTCTGATATGTCAAAAATGGTGTTAACGCAACAAAATTGTTCTCCCCAAAAAAACACATTTTTTCTACAACAAGTGATTAATGGAGAGTATTTTGACTAAGTTCAGTAATTTTGCAGCAATATTTTAAAGTTCAATAACTTTCAGCTTGGTTATTTTTTGAACAATTAATAAATGGGTAATTAATAAATCACATTATAATCATAACACAATTAAAAAATATTTTCAATACATGCACTACAATAAATTTACAATAATACTCGTAATACAATAAAAATAAAAAATAAATGCAATATTGTGGTGTACTCATCCTCCCAATTTTACTCATCATTTTTATCAATCCTTTATGTCCTACAAATCAATGAATACAAATAACAAATTAAACTCATTAATTGAACAGCATATGAAGAGTTCGGCCATGGATGAATTTCGTATTGAAAATCACAAAGATTGGATACCTTCACCATTGTCATTGGCCCAGAGAACAATAAGGGCATACTTGATCAGTGGAAACAAAATTAAGGCGTACAAAACTAGTGACAATGCACTAAGAATATCTTCATTTCGACTGACTGGTGCCTTGCTGAACATCACACTGAAGCTTACATTGGACTAGTTTCCTAAATTCTGTTTCCTTGAGCAGCCTGGATATTTAATCAACTTTTATATGTACGGGATGATTACATAGTGCTTATCAACACATGGAAAAGGAATTCTCTACTTGAGCAGTGTTGGGAAAAATCGCCTCAAAC